TTATAGAAGAGCACTCTCCTGGATGCACACTACACCAATCAACAGTGAGGCCTTGGAGCAGCCCCCCAAACATCCAGGGCCAGGCTTCCCAGAGGAGCTCCAGACCCTCTAGGGTCATCCCACTCTGCTGGCTGCTCCTCCTGGCCACAGGCACTCCCTGTTCCTGCCTACAACTGGGAAAACATGTAAAAATCACTGTCCTGTAAACACTTCCTGCTGTCCTCTGTGTCAGTAACCTGTCACAGGGGCAATAAACAGCCAAACTCCTTCACGTGGATCCAACCACTGAGTAATTAATGCTTGATTTAGACTGTCCTGACGGTGAATGAAGAGCAAAAACTTGCCAAAAAAACTCCCCAAAGGCCAACACCAGCATCAGGAATGACATCCCTTTACTGGCTTGGCTGTGGTTGTGCCTTCACACACGCAGGCTCAGTGAAACCTCTGCTCCCCACAAGCAGCATCCTGCTGATCCTTTGATCCGTGCATCACGGGATCAACCACGGAACGGTTTGCACTGGAATCTGTATCTATTTTTCCAACCAGATACAGATAAAACCCCTCTGCCGTGGGCAGGGACACCTTCCACTAGACCAGGTTGCTCCAACTTGTCTGTGGACACTTCCAGTGGTGGGGCATCCACAGCTTCTATGGGCATCCTGTGCCAGCAGCTCACCACTCTCACAGGGAAGAATTCCTTCCTAATCTCCCCTCTTTTAATTTAAAGCCGTCTCCACTTTTTCTGTCACGATCTGCTCGTGTAAAAATCCCCTCTCCCTCTCTGTTACAAGCCCACATGAAGCACTGGGAGGCCGCAGAAAGGTCTCCCCGGAGCTTTCTCCCGGTGGGAGCCGAGACCTCCGAGACACCCCCGCGCTGAGGGGGCGGCCATGGGACTACATTTCCCGTGAGGCTTTGCGTGGTGCGGCGGCAGGTCGTCACTGCGGTGGCGGCGGCGGAAGGAGCATGGCGGCGGTGCGGGCGCTGAGGGCAGCGGGGCCGGCGCTGAGGGCAGCGGGGCGGCCCGGGCTGGGCCCCGCGGGGCTCAGAGCCTTCTGGGGTGTCCGCAGGTACCGCAGGGCACCAGGGGGTGGCATCTGAACCTTTCGCGGGCCGTGGAGGTGCTGGAGGGGCCTTGGTCTTACACTCCCCCCCACCGAGCGCGTCCCTCGGGGTTGTGTCCAGGCAGCTCTAGGATGTTTTTAGGGAAGGAGATCCAGCAGGTTCTATGGGAATTAAGCGCCCATCGAGGCGCACTGCTGGCGGGCGGACGTGGTGGTGGTGGTGGTGGTGCAGGGTTGGAGTCTAGTGCTGTCACCTGCTTTTTGTTAGGGGTGGGAAAGGAGGGATTTCACGGGAATGTAAAATGGTAGTTCCTGTGCAGCGTTTTAGGTGAGACCATGCGTGGATTGTTGACTAGAGTGCGGCATATAAGCAAGTCAAGTTTTGTAGTTAAAACTAGCGATGAATATTTTTTTTTTTTTTTGGTACCTGGGCACTGATTTTTTTTTTCTGTAGTAGTGGTTATTTTCTGTTATCCCTTTTGTTTAATTAATATTTTTTTTATTCACATCAGATTAGAAAACGCAGTGGTAACTGGGAAGACAAGTAATTACTCTGATTAAAGTGTTTCCACACAGCCCAGTGAGATAAGGTGGGTGGGCGAGTGGTGGCTCTGCAGAGGGAGCCTGTGTGGTGAGCAGCCTTTGGGGAAAACCGCCAAACCCTGTCTGGTTTTGTCCCTCATGGATAAGGACACTGTCTGGCTTGAGCCTGCTTTAAAACACCTTGAACAGAATAGCACTCTGAGCCAGCCCAGAGGTTGAAAACGCTTCTTTTCTGGTGCCAACAGGAAGGAGGAGAAAGAAGTGGAAGTGGAAGCGGGGATCTCTGAGAAGGAGGAGAGGAGCAAGCCCAGCCTGCTGTGCCCCCCGCCGCGCAGCCGGAGTTACCTCCCCCCGCAGGACCTCCAGGGCCGCCTTGAGTCCCATGTAAGGGAGGTTTTTGGGTCCTCCCTCCCCCAAGACTGGGAGCAGACGCCCCTGCAGGAGAACAGGCTGAAGTTCCGGCTGCTGGCACGGCTGGCGGTGGAGCTGGGACACGCTGTGCCCAACTCCCAGCTCCACCTGATGCGCTGCGCCCGGGATGTGCTGGGTTTTTACCGCACCCCCATAAAGGATGTGACCAAGTTCGATGAACTCGTGGCCGCAGAGCTGCCACCGAACCTGAAGATCATCTGGAAGCAGTGAGTCCCACCATGGACCTTTCCTGCAGAGCAGCGGCAGAGCCACTTCTTCGCAGTGAAACGTGTGAATTTCACTAATAAAAGTTCTCTGAGTCGTGCTCGGGTTTTTCACCGTTGTCTGTTCTGCCCTTTTTTCCCTGCAGACCAGGAGTGTGGGCACTGCCAGCTGCTCCCTTGCATCTCTGGTTCCAATGGGGATAAACAGGGGGGACCAACTCCACAGTTCCTGCCCTGCACCTGGTCTTGGCTGGGGTAGAGGTAACTTTCTTCCCAGGGGCTGGTGTGGGGCTGTGTTTTGGATTCGTGCTGATGCAGAACACAGGGTTGATAATATAGAGATGTTTTTGTTATTGCTGAGCAGGGCTTGTACAGACATAACACCTTTTTGTTTTCCACGCTGGGGAAGAGGCTGGGGTTCATTGGAGGTTGGGAGGAGACACAGCCAGGACAGGTGATCCAAATGGCCAAAGGGATATTCCAGACCATAAGACATCATGCTCAGTGCATAAAGTGGGGGAAAAAAGGAGGAAGGGAACGAAGTTTGGAGTGATGGTGTTTGTCTTCCCAAGTAACCACTGCTCTCCTGGAGATGGCTGAATACCTGCCTGCCCATGGGAAGCAGGGAATTAATTCCTTATTTTGCTTTGCCTGTGTGTGTGGCTTTTCTTTTACCTATTAAAGTGTCTTTATCTCAACCCACAGGGTTCCCAGCTTTTACCCTTCCAATTCTCTCCCTGATCCCACTGGTGGGGGAGTGAGCAAAGGGTTGACTGGGGCTGGGCTGGCTGGGGTTCAACCTGTACAACCTCCTAAACTTGTCTTCAGTTCTGAGCTGTATGATGGGGTTTTTCTGTATGCATTTGGGCTGTGTCAGGAACCACATCCACCTCTGCCACCATGACCAGCAGGGCTGACAAACCTGGGGAAGGAGAGGGAAGGTGAGCCATCCTTATTTTTTTTTGTCCTTGAGATTAAAAATAAGAGCCTGTCACCAATAAGGTTTGTAAAAGCTATTACAGGTGTCATCTTAAAGTGAAACTGCTTGTGCTGCTCAAAATTGCTACATGAAAATAGGGCCAAGTAAAATTGTGAGATCTCTTAACTCAGTAATAGTGAACTCTCCAACAGCCCTATAAAAACACCTGCCATCAAAGCACCTTGTTGAATTCTTCAGTGTCTGTTAAAAACCCTATTTTTTAATTTTTGTGTCTCCTCCTAATAGTTGTTAGTTTTTCTTATATGTTACCTGTATGTTTAGTTTTTCTTCCCATCTCACTGATGATGCAGGTCTGCTGTTAATCAGAGGAGGCAAGCAGAAAAGTGAGGAAGACAATAAAATAAATACAACAGTCTGAGAAATCTGTGGTACTTCATGAATTTTGATGAAACAGGTTGTTTCCAATGAGGTTAGAGTCTGTATGTGTGATTTTTTTTTTTTCTGGGAATGATCCAGAAATGTCCTGGTTACAACACTCACTGCCCTCAACCCTTGCTCCCCCAGTTTCTTTCAGCAGACACCCCAAGCACACTCAGGCTTTTGTGTGTCACAGTGCTCAGTTTCTTGACTGAGCAAACTTCCTAAGTTCTCCCTTCTTCTCACAGCTCTGAAGAAGGTTAAGAAACCCATTCTTTTCTCCTTTTGGCTTTTGGGGATCTACAGAATAGTAAAAGTGTAGTGCTACATGTTCCATTGTGGGGTGAATGTGAGTGAGCTGGGGATGTTTCACTGGTCACTGTGGAAGGCTGAAGGTTCCCAAATCCCTCCCCTGCAGCTTATGGGAAACCACACTGTGACAACTGGCTAAATGTGTGTCATCCTGGCTGCTTCAGAGACTGTTTGGCAACAATAAATTATTTTTTTCATGAAACTATGTCTTCCTCCCACCAAAACCCAGAGATATTTGCACCTCCTTGTTTCTTCTTAACACTCATTATCTAAGAAAATACTGTCAGTGGTAGTTGAACTTCATGTTTATCTGCCGCTTCTCTGTCTCTCCCAGTATGTAACTTTGATAGGTCACGTAAAATGATCAGAACAAAGTGGAAAAAGTGAAGACTGAAAATTAGGCAAGAAAGGAGCATGACAGCAGCTCATCTTGGGTTTTACTGTCTGAGTCAAATTGCCATTTCCCTTATCTCGTACACTTAGTTCCTTTTGAGGTGCAAATGTCATGCTTCCGTCAGCACAGGGACTGTAGCACAATGGAAGGGGATCAGACATTAGAGATGCAAAACTTCTTAACAAAAATCTGAAGTGAGATCGTAGCCTAGCACAGAATGCCTGTGCCATGGAAGGGGTAAAACTTCTAGGGGATTAATCACTTTTTAATCCTTGGGCTTTCAAAAGTACCTAACTTCTATTGAATTAAATTACAAATAAATAAGTAAGCAAAAGCCCTGCTCATGCAGTCTGTTGGTTTTAGACCAGTAGAGAAGACCAGGCAAAAGTGTAAAAAAAGCCTGCTTGGGAGGGTATTTCCTAGCAGAGAAGTTGAAAACAGATTTTTCCCCCTGGAATTTTGATCAAAGTTGTAGTGAGGAACCCAGTTGTAGTGAGGAACTTATCAACGGCTCCTCATGGTCACAGAAGGCCTGCACGGCCCGAAGTCTGATCCTTATATTCCTAAGTCTGAAGCACACATCTGCAGAGTCAGAAGAAGATACCAACCTGGAAGAAACACTGCAAGACCAGACAGAAACAGACATCCCAGATTTTCTTTGTATCCCAGGCAAGTGACAGAGACCAGGCTACATGTTTGCTTTTTTGAACATTTTTTTTCGCTTCTGTTTTGGAAAAAATTACAAAAAAAAGCCAAGAAGAACCAACATGGAAATGTGAGGTAAACATTCCAGTAGAAGTACAGAGACAAGCTCCATTCTTTAAAGGAGACACACAGCAGTTATCACCATGCTAAAAGAATGAGATGCAGGAAAATCCTAGAAACAGTGAAAAATCATGTAATGAAGCCTTTGCCCCAATTCTAGCCATTGTAAATGGGCTTTTTTTTTCTTTCCCTCCCACCCCCAACCCATACTTAATTAATTGTCTTTAAAATCCTTAGACAAAGTTTTTAAATTGTAAAATAGCAGTTTTGATATAAATTCTGTTTGGCAGAATTTACAAAAATGCAGATCGCTACTACAGGCTGTCAGCTTTTTATTTTCTTTTGTTTAATTTTTTTTTTTAACTTGTCAAAGCCCCTCAGGGAAAAATACACTTTGGGGGGCAAAACAGGCTCCTTGGTTCATGCGAACTGGAATGCCAGAGAATGCCACCCTGCTGGAGAAGTGGTGCCACTTTTACTTTGCAACAGTGTCACTAGTTACCCCACAAATCTATGATGAAGTGATGAGACACTCAGAGCACAGCCTCAGCTCCACAGTGGTGGCTGTATATCCCCATAGTCAATTCCTGAAGCCAGGTTTCACCGGGAGCTTCAGCTGGGCCTCGGGGAGGAATGAGGATCTAGGGAGATGATATAGTCAGCTCACATGCTATCAGCTACTACTATAAATTTTCATGTCCAGTCTGTCTATACTGCAGACTGAGGATGTTGTTTTAGTTATTCTTCAATAACCAGCACAATCACCCACACCAGAACAATCAGGCTTTGATTCAGTGAGGTGCTTAAGAACATGCTTCAAGTCTGCCAAGTAGTCTGGAAACTGGGTGGCTAAACTGCATCCCTAGGGAACACTTAAGTAGCCCACTGAATCAAGGATGGATTTTTGCTACGTGTTGATAGTATCATTCAGGTCAGATTCCTGATCACCATTATTTTAATATGAACTAAATATATGAGATTACTTCAGATCTATGCTGACCTTACTGAGATCGGAATCTGACCCAGTGGTAGAAGCACTTCTTACGGTAAGAAAAGGTAAAAATGAATGTTTCTTTTTTCAAGATATATAAATTAAAAACTGAAAAGAAAAAAAACGTGTACAAATATCACATAACAACATCAACAATTCCATAGATGTAGTTCCTCAGTGCACACTTTAAACAAGAAAAGTTTTTTTTGTTCTTTTTTCGTTTTGCTTTTAAAGTCTGGCATAATAATATTAAAGCTGACAAAAAAATCAGGGCAAGCTACATCACTTCCTCATACAAAAAAAGTACAAAACATTAGCCTCTAACTAGACATAACATAATACTGGTCATCACAGTTACACATTTAGTAACTGTGTGTCTTGGACTATTGTACTGGAGGGTAGTAAAAAATAGCTCCGGCTGCCAATCTTCCATCTCAGGTTACTTCAGTCATAGAGGCAGAGTGGTTCTGCAAAGAGGAAAAGGCAGACACATGAACATTTGTAAACAGTTTGGCATTTACATACTTTGGTGTACAAAATGAATGAGAAAACCCTTCTCTAATAAAACCTGTCGCTCAGCTAACCCAGGGCTTTAAGACTGCAGAAGTGACTGCTGCCTGTCCTGAGTGTGTGGTGGGAATCGCTGAACTCCAGCCCTGCTGTTATTAACACTCACTAACAGGATGGAAAACCAAGGTGGGACTTTTCCAACATGGACTTTCAAATGGGACTGGGTCCTGTCCAGAGGGACAGGTCTGCAGAGGCTCAAGTGCTTCATACAGTCACATAACCAATACAGTGGATCTGTCCTCAGGAGAGACTAGAAGACTGTGGTTTGGCTTCATCTGATGGGTGCACACGGATTCTGCACACTTTGATCCTAAGGAACATAAAGAACTTAAAACCGTATGGAGGTGGGTCAATATGCCAAAACACATGCAGCCACAGACATGCAGCAACAAGAAGTCCTCTGTAGGTGGCAGTGTAGATTTAACCTTCCTGGGAGCCAATGTCCAGGACTCGTGGCCTGGGAGCCAATGTCCAGGACTCGTGGCTGTACTAAGTCATCCTTTTATCATGCTGCCTCTGCAGGGTTTGTGTGGGTGCAAGGCCAAACGAGATTGGGGATAGATGCAGAAATCTGCACAGAGAAGGACGTTGTACCTCCTATACCTGAAGAAACAGTAAGGAGCATGTGCTCCCAAAGACCTGTTCATACTATCTTCAGAATAGGATCACATTTTCCCCAATCTACTCCTGCACTGTAGATGTATGGTCATGTAGAGACTGCTACCCTGAAAATTATGTTGTTGAATTATAGTAGACATCAACAGTTAAGGTCCAGTCGCTACCTGCACTTCACAGCTCAGCAGCTATAAATAGCTGACTTGACTAAATTTTTCTCATAGTCTATATTTCCCCCTGCTCAGCCTTTTTGTCATACATGACACAATGCGGACATCTAAGCAGTGCTTAGTTTCTGAACTGCAAACCCACCAAGAGAACAATTAATGCACAAGGTTCTGCAGATTTAGTGGAAAGTCTTCCAGTAAATCTTTGCCCTAATCAAAATTGACTTTTCAATTAAGCAAAATATTTCCAGGCATTAGAAAACTGTCTTTTCCATTTTTTTAAAAATTCCTCTTTTCAGTTTATTTGGCAAAGAGTTTAACAGAAGTCACTATTGATCTTGCTACATGCCATGTGCAGAGGAATGACAGGCCATCTAAGTACAATTTAAAGAACAAAAAAATGACATCAGGGTATTTAAAATAACTGATAAACTACAGTTTCTCCTCATTCTCAGAACCTGTTTTGTAGGTGGCATTTGCTTGTCTGTTTTGAAAGGGCTGGGTATGATTCAGTTATGCCAACACAAGCCATTTTAAGTTAGTAGTTTTAACAGAAACACCAACAATAATGATGCTCTCGCTTGCTATTTTTTTTGCAGACTTGAAAGAATGCTATTACTTCTCTTCTGAGGACTTAGAGATAGAAAACTGTATGAGATTTTTATCATTATAGAAGATACTGAACAGTAGTAAGGATAAAAAACCTAATCTCTATAAATACATTTCTGGACAGCATAGTTTATTCTCAGGAAAGATTAAATATTTCAGACATCCCCAAAGTATTTTGGAATGTAGTTACACAGAATTATTTTTGCTTTTCTCTCAGTTTTCTATTCTAAGCAAAAGCTTTTTTATCACAAAACCATATGCAGAGGCATGTGAAATCCTACTTTTTCAGCAGTGGATGTGCATAGGGGCAAAAGATCTACAGTATTTGGTAGTTCGGGAATAAATGCCTTAAAACAAACTCTGCCTTGATTCAGATTCACTTTGTTCAATGGGCTCAATGTTAGGAATGTATGGTTAGGTATACAACTTGGTTTTAGTCTGCTGTAACAGAAAATGTGGTCGCTGATGGGTCTGGGTGAGCGGATTTACAGTACCTGTGCACTCAGTGTCTCCAGAGGACTTTCCACTCTCGGAAAAGCCATTAGTGGCATTCCCCGTGGATCTTCAGGCTTCGGTTTAGAAGGAGCTCCGTGAGTGCCCTTAAAGTTATGGACAACACATATCCCCTGTGTAATGCAGAAAAAGCAAGTGAGGTTGGTGTGTTCTGTCCCCAGGAAAACTCAGAGGAGTTAACACTGGGGTCACAACTGCCAGTTTCTGAAAAGAATTTAACCTGGGTTTTGGTTCAAGGCATCACCTGTCTCAGCCTTGGGCTACAGTGCAGCTGAATGGGATGGACTGCTTTGGGAAGTGGGTTAATCTGAGGTGATGAACCATTCTCAGTCTTTATACATTTTACATTTCACACAGCAGAGATTCCCATGTATGCTTTATCATCCCAGAACCACAGACTACCTGAATGATGCACTGTACTGGCCAAATACTCCCTTCAGACTGTGACTTTATCACTTCCAAGCTGTGAAAATAGTTCAGTGGATGGCTGCATCTCCCTCACATCTGGATAACATAATTTAGCACCACTCCTTCATACTTGCAGCAGCACTGGGACGACAGACTCACATTGCATAGGCAAGATTTAAACTGCCCTTCCCAATGGGAACCAGACAAATAATTTACATTAAAGCCAAGGAAATTCAGGTCAGAGGTTGTAGATATCTTTTTATTTAAAGGGAACATGGAAACAATTGACATGTGGAGGTTTGTTGTTGTTGCTTTTTTAAGTACAGAATAGGAAAAAAGGAATCAGTGACAGGACAATCGAGATTTAAGGGATCATTGAAACCTAATCCCTCCTGATAACAGAGATAAAGTGTCTGTTGCTGTGCAGTGGATAGTTTTGAAGCATATTTTGATTAAATGGAACCAGGCACATTTCTTGGTATCAACAAGAATGACCTGGACTGCTGGCTGTGTGAGTAAATCCTCAGCAAGAGACCTCTCACCAAACAAATCACTTCAACCACAGAGCCCACAGGAGAGCCAGGTACACTTCAAGTCTGGAAAGATGCTGTTCCTACATTCTGTGGGAAGGCCTTTCTTTGATATATTTTAATACATTTAGTTACCCCCCTTTAGGGGGTAAACAATTTCAGCTCAACTCCAAATGATGCAAAGGGAGGTAATATTGTCTCCCAGGGAGTTTATCCTGACCTTCCTTTCTACTGCATTTCCTTTATGGTCCAAAACAAAACAGAAAACCAGGACCACTGCTCAGAGCCGCAGACAACACCCTTTATCTAACATTTTTGCCAGATACAAGACACACAGTAGGATTTTGTAACATGGGGGTGTTAGAGGAGTCTCAAGCATACCTTCCTTTTGATATCAGTTGAAAACTACACCATCTTTACAGAATTTTCCAGAACAGGTCAAGTAAGAACACATACAGGAATTAAAAGAATTAAAATAAATAAAACGTACAAATGTCACCATACTAGCCTTATCAATTAGTATTCCTGATTTCATACTGTAATTCTCTCTGATGATATGTTTAACTAGATGGGGCTAGAATTAGATCTTGCAGGCCACACGAAAAAAGCATTTTTTTAAATATCGTTTTTAATACTATGGTATTTTTAAAAGGAATTCACAAGGAACTGCTGGACTTACCAGAAACAAGGCTACAGCACTGCCCAGGATGAAGCCTGCGATCACGTCCGAACAGTGGTTCCGATACTCAGAAACTCGATTCAGCCCAGTAAGGAAGGCAGCACACAGGGTACCCAAACACAACACAGGCTTGGCTAGCCTGCTGCTCTTTGTTTTAATTGTGCTTGTGATGTACATCTGAAAGGAAGGGCAAACCAAAAGTAAAAAGGGGCTCTGCCAGAAATGCATCCTTCCCACCCAGAAAAATCCTAAATCAGCAAGTGCTTTAAAAAAAGCACTAGGAAATGGAGGAAGAGGTTTCAGGTAATTCAGAGAACACTTTTAAGAGTACAAAACAGATACTGTTAAATGGTGTTGTTTCAGGATGTCAAATATCCCACTGCATTTACATACAGAACTTCTCCTGAGCTTGTAGGCCCCGTTTGTGCTCAGAAGGTGGCACTCTGAATGTGCATGACTAAATGCACAGGAGCCAGGAACTGATGTTTACACTCCTGCAGAAACTCTAACGTACAGAAAATTTGAGTGCATAGCATCTGTATCAACTAGCTACTCCAGTCTCCTAAGTGGTGTTAAATTTAAGAAAGAGAGAACACTGTGAGAAACCATTCCAGACATTTTCTCTGAAAGATGAAAGGAAACACACAATATGAGAAAGGTTTCTTTCAAAACAAAGTTGATTTTGAAAATGTAATTCTGGAGCACAAAGTTTCACTGTTCTCTGAGTATTTTTTAATTAACCCCACATGTTTCTGGCGGTTTGTGTATTTTCTAACACATTTTGACAGAGAGCAAAAGCACATGGGTCACAATTAGCAGCCAGTCATTAATTCCAGAGCCACAAAATAACAAAGATAAAGCAAACCAAGCCTGATGGCAAAACAATTCAATAAAATCCTTTTCAGCAATCAAGTATGGATGCCTGAATGATTTCCAAAGCTTTGATAATAAAAGCAAATATATCAAATACATTTGCCCAAAATGTCTCCAGATGACACACTGCTCCCCATACATGAAAAAGAATCATGAAGATACATTTGAAAAATGCTTCTTAAACAGTATCATGCTCAGGTTTCCTAATCTGATCCCTGGCTGGCTTGGCTTGGTGCTTCCAGATGCAACTACCAGCACAACTTGTTTCGCACTCTATGATCTATTTGGCAAACGTGAGCAATTATTTTACTGTATTTTAATATCTGCCCCTTTCTAGGTGAGCCAGCTATACAGAGGTCATTATGGTCTGGCACATAGTTTTGGGATCAAGAAAAAGAAATTATATCCATTCTCAAGTTCACTCGGTTCATTGCCTTTCACATATTCCTGTATTCTGCTGTATTGTGTGTACTTTAACTTTCTCCTTGTTTGTATTTCCTTTCCCTTCTCCCAGACTGGGCTACCAAATATCCCTATATCTGGGTTCCCTTCACTGGCTGCTGCTAAAAATATTAGCCCTAAACTCATGACAATACGTAACTCTAGAAGAAGGGAAGGGATGCAGAAACCACTTTTTGAAAGGGAAAGGGACAGGACAGAAAAACTGACCAGGGGAAGGCAGATATGACTCCCTCTGGGTCAAAAGGATACTTTCACCTGCCCAGAAACTGTGGTACTGTTAATTTGCTGTAACTGCTTAATTTGCCAGATCTCTGCCTAGGGAAGGGAGGTCTTCTGCCCTTAAATGTGCTATTAAGTACATAATTTAAAGGGCAACTTGATTTCTGAACTAGAACATTATGCTGTGTAATAGCATTGGGAATGAAACTCAGCTATTTGAGAATTTCCTGCTTGCTTTGTTTTTCACATCTAAACCCGAGTGCAGCATATGCCTTGGAAAGACAGCTAACAATGAGCACTAGGTGGACCCATCCCCCAGCCTTGGCTGGCAGCTTGAGCTGCATGTATCACCAAAACTCACGTTAAGGTTCTTTGGAAACAACAGGAAAACAAAAATCATTGCTACTGCGTAAATAATTACCACCCACCCTTTCACCTTGTGCACTTCTAGCAGAAGTCAATCCAACTGAGGAACAGGGAGTTGAATTGCTTTCCCATTCCCCACCAAAGCACCACTGCAGTTTACAGCATCCAAAGGAAAATCCACCACCTCTTTAAAGTAAAAACAGTCCTGCTGTGCCAGCTGTGAACAGCAGCTACACAGAGCAACCCACACACACTTGTTTCCTTACAGGTATGAGATAAAGCTGGATCTTTGGGTTACACACATGGGAGGCTTGTCTTTGTCACAGATGGGAAGTATCTGTAATTGAAGTTTCATGCATCTCAGCAAGAAAATGTACACTTAAAGAGAACATTTTTAGCAATGAGGGTAATTAACCATGGGAACAGATTGCCAAGGGAAATCTGTCCAAACCCTCATGAGGAGGGTTTTAAACAAGACAAACTGTTTTCCCAGGAGGTAGGTTCCAGTTCATCCTAAATCACACACTGAGCTCAGAAATAACTGGGAGAGCTTCTCCATTACAGTAAGAGTTCCCAATCAATGAGGCTTGATTTTTATTGTCTGGGTTCCCTACAGCCAACATTTTTTTTAGGATTCACACAGTATGTTTTCCCACGTTTAGAGCGTGGTTTCAAAACTTTCTGCAAGAGACCAAAATCTCAGTGGAAGTCTCCTTCACACAGCAGCTATTTCTGAAAATTTCCCACAACACTAAATATAAAGCAAAATTATTTATTTACAAAACTCTAAATGTCAGAAACAGAGAGGAGTAAAGAAGTGAATATAAAAAGATGTGAAGTAAATATAAAAAAAAATGAAAAAATAAACCACACATTATTTAACTATATAAATTATCTATTCAGCTTCTTTGCTGTGTTCTTATTGGTGCTGTGCTCTTATACACCCAAGTAGTGTATTTAGCCATGTTCAATGTGTGATAGTAGCATTCAACCCATGTGATTCCTCTCCCATCTTTTTCAGACAGAGAAAAGCAGGGACAGTCAAGGAGGCTTTTTTGTTTACAGGTTTAAAATAGACATCCATATATACTTATGTGTATATGCAAATATATGCATATATTTAGAATGTATGTTATATCTATAATGAGAAATGCAAAGTGGAAGAAGTCTGTCTTGTCCTTGCAGCAAAAAGTGGGAAGATTTGTGATAGTTTTACTTTCCTTAGAAAGTTCAAGATTTCATACCAATACTGGAAAATCCTGTCCTACAAGCTTTATAATCTTTTCTTTTACCGCAGAGATTTCTATAAGAGAGAAGCAGAGCCTTTGACAACTGCTGTTTGACAACTGCTTTGACTCAGTGCAGCTGCTCAAAATGCCAAGGCCTTGAACTGACCTGGGCTGCTGAAGGTATTTGCTGTGGTGTTCTCTACTATTCAGCATTTCCCAAATGTTCGAAGTTTCATGTTCAGGTGTAGAGGCCCAGAGAAGCTGACTTTAGTCATGGGATGGATTGTGCTGGCACAGCTTCCACCCCCCAAGCCCCCTCACTGAGAAATGCTGGTTAGGCCGCAGCCTTGAGGAACAGCACTTGGACTAAGCTCCTCTGAGCTTATCAGAAACACTGTTCCCAAGAACTTGTGCTGTCTAATGAGCACCTGTTTTTTAATAAACAGCCTTAGAAACTTGGGGGTTTTGCCTGAATAACAGCCCATGTCTCAAACACTGATAGCTGGATGGCTGTGGAGCCAACCCAGGACTGTTGGTAATGACAGACAAAATTCTTGATAATAACCAAGGATTGTTGGTATCAAGACACTGTGAGAACAATATATGGCTGGAGAAGGGGGGCCAGGCAGAGATAGGGCAGCATTTTTCCATGAGGAAGAACCACAACAAATACAGCACAAGCACAGGAATGAGTTGCAGGAAGTGAGCATGGACTATAGGGTGGGATTAAGACCATCAGAGACCCCCAAAGCTCTCTGTCCCAGAAAGACCTAAACAAACAGACTGTGCACAATAACTAATTTACACAGAAAGTGAGAAACCTGTCCATAAAAAGGTATCATGCCAAGCCTGGGTGGTGCCCCCAGGGCCCTGAACATCTCATGGGCCAGACCAACGCAGCTGGAATGACACTGAAACCAGGACTGATATCCCATCAGCTGAACTGATGCTGGAACCAAGACTCTTTTTCTTGGAAAAGAAAAAGAAAGCCCTTTTCTTTTGGAAAGAAAAACCTTTTTCTTGGAAAAAAAAAAAGAAAACCTCTCCCTTGGAAAAGAAACTCAAAATCATGTTTCTAAGTGCACGAGTGGACTATGTACAGAGGTTGCCATGTCTTCCTGAGATAAATCTGGGAGACTGATAAAGTTTAATTAGATGCCATTTTAATTTTTTTTGTAAGTATGGAAGTCAGGGCTGGCAGCCATTTTCTCTTTCCCCTACTTCAGGCATACAAGATGCACCTCTACCTGCAGAGAACACAGAAGTTATGCTGTGCGTTCTCCTCAGCCTCTCTAACAGGTGACAAAGAAAAAGGCCTTAATGATTAAATATAAACCCCAGATTATTTAAAAAAAAAAACCAACAAACACACCAAAACCCCACAAAGGTAAACCAATCACAGTGAGAGTGCTTTCAGTAGCAGAGTAATGAACAAATGAGCACAGAAACATCTGCAGAGCACACTTGAGGTTTGGTGATGGCAGGAGACTCCCAGATCTCAACAGACATTCATACAATGACAGACAATGTCCGTGCTGATTCCATTCTCCTGCCTACTCATGTTCAAGCTGTTTTATTTTCCTTGCACCATGGTTCAAATCTTCAGCTTTATGCAAAATACACCTATTACTAAGCAAATGTCCCATGTTTCATGTTCAGCAGCCCACATTATCATGCATATTAGAATCAGCAAGAGACTTCTCCAAAAATTGTGCATAGCACAGTTATTAAACAAAGCTAGGTCTGAACAATGCATTTCTTGTGTAATGCTCATGTTATTCCCAGCTGACAGGCAGAGAAAAGACAAGTGATAACACCTTTAGTTCTAGAGGTAGAGAACTGGGCTGAAATTGGACTGTAGGCTGAAATGCCCTAAGGGCAGACTTTCATGACCTTGTGGCTCAGAAATGGCTCCATGTCCTGGCTCTACTTGGTATCTTCCCATGTGAGGAGAAATGCAGACCCATCACAGGTGCTCGGGGAAGACTAGAGCTCAGAAACATTGAACTACCTGGGACTTAAGCTCAGGAAGGAAAAGCAGCATTGCCCTTCCGTTGTAGAAGTCAGCCTGCTTGTAGAAGACTTGCCTACCTAGGAAACATGGGAAGATGTGCAAGGAAAGTCTGTGAAAGGTGTAATTAGCCTAGGATAGAAACAGGACCAAGCCTGACCCTGGAACTTTCACCTCTGAGTTTATCATAATGCAAACAGCTGCTACAACCATGTCAAGTTTATTGTATTTCACACATGGTTGCATATTGTTCAGAAGTAATGTGCACATAATGTTACAGGCTTTCCACACAGTTTCCAACAAATCCTGATCAAAGGAGTTGCAGTTTATATCTCCATCATTAATCACAGAACATTCAGTGCAAATAGATGGATATTGAAACAGCAGCTGGTGGACTCTTCATCTTACAGTAATAATATGGTGTTTTATTCATCTGCTACCCTGAGCACAGGGTAAAATATTCAGTAAATACCCTGTCATTAGTAATTTTAACACTTTTCTTAAATACTGATGACCTACAGACAGACTCTGCCACTACTTGGTCTGGCTATTAGGGGAAAAAGACTTAGGTTAATTCATTTTAAGATCAGAACCAGGTTAAGCCCTTCGATCTTAATGGCAAAACCAACAAGATTTTCTGCTTTGTTAGTAAGATTCTTGGATCGATTTTCCAGCATTACAGAAACTTTAACCAGAGAACACAAAGGAGCAGTCGATCTGTCTCATGAGACCTTTTAAGACAGATAAGTTTCCTTCCTTACAGTACAGCGGTGTCACCTTGTCAATATGTCAACTGGGGTGCATTCCCTGTGATAACAACAAAATTCTGGCACTTTCATTAGAACCTTCAGGTCATAAACAAGGGCAGCAAAATTCAGCCTAAGTTCAGCTTCCCATTGAAGTGGCACAATTTAAATATTAAATGTTCAACAAGCACAGGAGCAAAAGTAGCAATCCAGAAGCTGTTTAAGGATCAACTTCATTTTAATGCTCATCAGAGAGGGCCAGGGAGAAGATCTTGAATGAGAAAACCAGCAGTAAAGACAAGTTTAGGACCTCATACTTCTGGAATATGCAGTGCCTCAAAAGCAATAAGCACTTCATTTGCTTACCCCAGGATTGGTAAAATGAGAGAGAGAAGGCGGTTTCCCCCTACAGATAAAGAAGAAAGCAGCCCCCAAAGCAACATTCTTTTTCTCCAAAAATCCATCGTAAGAAAAATGTGCCCATCTAGATGCACATACAGAAACCTCTCATGGAAGTCAGCAGTCATCACTGGCACCCACCGTGGCGTATAAAGCTGAGTAGATGCTCAGAGCAGCATGTTTGGATGGAAAGGATCTCCTTGCCTTTTCAATCACTTCCACATCCCCAGTGCAGATGTTGCCGTTGTTTATGAACTGGTGGTGTGCCCTGCAGTCGTTCCCAGTGTAGTTGGGTTTACACACCGTCAGGAAGTAGGGAGCCAAGTTCCCAGTCACAACCTGGCCAGCATTTACAAAGATGTCAGTGGCAAAAAGTCCAAATGCAAACACTCCTGTGAGGAAAAGTTAAAAACAGTGATTATTCAAGCAAGTTTAAAAAATACCATGGTACCTGAGAGGGGGAGACATAATAGGAGTTATATCATGTATTCATACCAGATCTGTGACAAAAAATGAGATCTCTGAACCTGAAAGAGCAGTGTAGTACTGAGACACAATAGTGCACTTACCTAACATAACTATCGAGTGTCAAGTACCTCCTGAATTTTGACTGTTCATTGTCTTGATGTTGAAAAATTAAGATTCTGATCTAGCAAGATTTGGCATGTCCTTTTGGAAGCAACCCATTGCTTTGCTCTGGAAGACATTTCCAGACAGTTGCAGTTCAGCTCATGTCACCAAGAGCACATAACCACAAATCCTACAGCATGAAGCATTCACTAGAACGTATTTCCAGGGCTGTGGAGCATCCCTTGATCAATACTGCAGTTGTCACATCCTCCACTGACTCCCCATGAATGTTATCAATACCTGCTACAGCTGCTCTGAACATATATGAGGATCCTTCACATGCATGTACTGCCCACATACCAAAGGAAAAGGACAGCACATCTGCAGAAATACCAAACCCAAATGTTCTGAAAGATTAAATCAGCTCTCCTTTTCCCCTTCTCATCACTAAGGTTAATTAAAGTGTCACAAAAACATAGAAAAAATAAATAATTGCTTCTGGTGTGGGAATATTGAGAGTCACGTATTTTTGCTTTCTCCCTCCTGTAACTGTGTAAGCAAAAGTAATTTAAATTTATAAATTAGTTGAGATTGCTATGTATTTAAGTATGACCAAGAGCTGGAGCTCCAGGGAAAACATCCTAGAGAGCTGTGGTGAAATCTTAAAATCTGGCACCACCATAATTGTTACACCTTCACTGCTTATATATACTGAGTTAGAAAAAGAAAATAGGACAGCTATAGCCTGAGACACAAAAAATATCAGAGAGTCAGCAAGATAATGCAGTGTGTACAGGCAGTAATATAAACTAAAACTATCTAAAATGGATTTGTGTGAGTGTTAGAGTGAGGCTTGCCTGTGCCAGTCATTCAGAGAGATGGTGTGGTGTCTCTGTAACATAGATCCCTCCCTGGATAATGATGGGAAGAGCCATGTCCTTGGGAAGCAGCCTGGGGGGGCTGCAGGACTGTGGAGCTGTAAATCCTCACCATCCTTCCCCAAGGTTAGGATGGAGCATCACCACAGTGAAGATGATTTTGGGGGGCTGAGTGTATTCTTTACGTGAATTTATTTATTATTAATGAACTGATTTGTGAGCATGGATTCAAAACAGAGGTGGTCAAAGGAGGAGGCTGCCCTCCTCTGGTTCTAGACTGCAGGACTGACTCCTGTCTTTTTAATGGTGTGACAGTTTTCCTCCTGTTTATCCTGCTAAGTGTCTGTGCTTAAAAGGAGAGAGCACTGACACTGCTCCTTTATTTCCTTTATCCCTGTGTTAATATTTTAAATCCACGGTTTTCCACAGCTGGCAGGAACTTCTCATCTACATTAGTCAGTACACAATCAAGTACAAAGGAAAAAGGTAGTAGGGTATCTTTTCAGCCTGGAGAAACAGCTGAAGTTATGACAAAGATGAATCTTGTTCTATATACAGCTCTTTGTTAATTTTTTTTTTTTTTTTTTGGCACAGCTTGCCTTAAATGGCATCTTTCTGATGTGCCATGCAAATTAGAAGGAATGCAGTGGGGATTATTACACAGCCTTTTACAATAGTTAGAGGAAATTTACGTGCCACGCAGTCTGGCCCTCGGTATTTATCAAGTGAGTACAAGCCAAGAAACAAGGTGTTTCAGAAAAAACTCACAGGCTTCACAAAATTATCTAAATCCCTAAGCAGTGTACAGGTACAAAGGTGGTCCAGTGTTTTGCTCCATTAAAAAAAAAAAAAGTTTCAACACCTGCATTTCCTCAGTAGTTGGTAGCACAGAACTCAACAAGTCAGCTGCTGAGGCCTGCAGCAGTCCACAGAAGAGCAGAGCATGCCACAGCTGAAACCTTTATCGCGTTCTGAGTGTGGTGCATATTGATTACTGTAACTCCTCTCTCGCAGGTCTGCCAGACTGTGCTTCATGCGAACCACAGCCATGACCACCAGTGAATTCAGCTGGCAGGAATGTCACCTTTGCAGGGTGGATTACACTCCACATCATCTCTAGAGACTTGGAGGTAGGGTTGGCTGTAATTGATTTAAAGGCTGTAACACCAGCAAGCCTGGGCAGGGGCGGACAGCCCCCCGATGTTTTTTGTACCTCAGGAATCTATCTGTTCAGTGGATTTGTTCAATGACCTGCAGCAGCTCAGCTAACTGACTAGAGCATAAAAAACACAGTGATGTGAGTGCCAGGTTTTTACAGGCAGACAAATTGCTGCTGAAAGGCTTCACAGGGAAGGCGACCAGCCCTGGCTCTTCAGGGTCAGCTGAAGTCCTTGATATAATGCCAGAGAGAGAGAATGGGACAATATGTACCTCTTCCAGACTTTGACACTCAGCTGTAATAGGAGGTGGTGTCATCCTGATCAGGAGCAAGAGATTTATCTCACTAAGCTCGCTCTGGGCCAGAAAACCTGAGAATGAACTTCAGTGCAGAACTTAGCATATGCTGAGAAAAGATGGGAACAGTGCAAGCCACATGGGAAGCAGACCTACAGCTGCTTACTAGCAGAAGGGATGGAGGTTAATTGCATTTACATAAAGCCACTCTTTGCCCTCAGCCACATGTGTCACATTGTCTGGCTGCAAAAAGAGGCCTTAAAGAAGGAGCAGAAGCTATGTTTGAAAGGACTTCCTGGGTTTTTTGTCAGGACGTGACCCTCACCTGTGTTTGTGCATCTCAGGAGCAGTCAGGAGGAGGACACTAGAAGACAAAACAGTAAGCAGAATATAACTGGGAGAGATACTAGTTTAGGCCAGAGATAGAGGGGTAGGCTCTACTTCCTGCTCCAGAGTCCAAGAAGAAGGAACTGAGGATCAGATTTGAACATGTCTTTGCCTTCAGTGACAAAGACCTTAGACAAACTAAATGTGCAAATCAAAAGAAAAAGAAACAAGGAGAAGCCTGTTGAAAAATGCCAAGGACGGACAACATGAAGCTTGACTTTCCAGATCCATCTCATCTGAACTAACACTTGCCTTGGCAGAAGAATCTGAGTATCTGGCAGCTTCAATTTTGAATGCTTAATTTTTAATTTCTCTACTTACACATCCTCCTAAATGACTGTCCTCCATGAACCCATGATTTCTGGACTCTCACCCATATTCTACTCTTATGTTCTATCTCCTATCAAGCTCTTTGTGTGGTTGTTCATCCGTGTTGCCACCTCTAACTCTATTGCTTTTGCCAACAGAGGCACTTGCCCTGAAGAAGAATACAACTCTTCTCGCACATTCAGTACAACCCTGTCTCCTCCCTGCAATTCATGCTCAGGCTCTCTTCTTCCACCTTGAATTATCTAATATCAGTCACTGCAGCTGCTAGTTGACTCCATGGAAACTCTTGCTATTAGAAGCATTTAAAATGCCACTGATTTGGAAAAAATATCCTTCACTACCACCACAACAACTACAAAAAATCATCAGCAAATCCCCTTGGAACTTGTAGAAGAGCAGCTGAAATGACACAGGGAAAAAGACAAGTAAGAAGCCAGTGGGTGGAAATGAGAACCAGGAGGTAGAAGGCCCTATGATAGAAAATCCACGAAACCCATAAGTAAAGTGACGAAAGAAACAATGCATTGAAGGGCTCATGAGACATCAGAAGCTGAGCTCTTCATTAACCTATCATCATGTCTTCAAACAAAGATATTTATTTAGGCACTCCTCTCTCCCAGTGCCCAGTCAACTACCTGAATTTGTAATTCTCAACCTAATTATCTTAGAAAATATTCATATTACACATGCACACTCATACTCCCCTAATTCCTTTTCTATCCCTATGTTTTTTAAAGCAGATTAGAGTTTCAGTGGGAAGTGTCCCTGGAAGGACTCAGGGCTCTATGGGAATGCTGATTCTCAGCCCATCTCTGAACATTTAGCTCTGAGAATCCTGTGCATCCAATAAAGCCATACATTTATAGTCCCCTGATTAAGACTCTGCTAAACCACCACTCATCATTATATCTTAAAGAGTGTTGTTAAAGGAGACTTGTATCATTAATCCATTTTACAACTGCAGAGATGGAGGTTGCAGGGAAATTTATTGTCCTGTTGCCATGACACCAGGAACAGGCTCAACATCAACCTTCTGAGCTCTCATCACCCAATCATGGGATTGGCTTTGATCTCCTAGTGAAGACCTCACAAAGCTCCAGGCTTCTACTGCCTCTTGGGTCTGCCTGCTTCACCTGTGAGTGTCCTGCCTGGAGACTGTTCCCTCCAGATATAAAAAGGAAGACACACGGTCTGAGCACATCAGCAGAAATTAAGTTCTCAGTGCAAAAAACTTTGGAGCCTCAAGACTTCTCCTGAGAGATGTACAGGATATCTTCCTTCCTCGCTGCTTTCACAACTACCAGTTTTCATCTAGACAACTGCCAACTCAGAGTCTGGCATAAAAGGGAACACGAAGGGTTGATCTGTCCCCAGCACAGTGATACTGTTTCTCATTGTGGATGTTCTTCAGTGATAAGAAAAGAGACCTCCAGGAGTTCCAGCTGTTGAGCAGTTTAGGTTAGGGGCAACAACCCCAAATACAGCTTGAGTCCTGCAGAAAAGCAGCCAGATAATAACAGAATATGCATGGTTTCACGGCGAACCTCAGATCCAAGCCAGACAACAGAAGGATAAGGTCAGGCAAGCTGGGTCCTGCAGCTGCTCAAAGAATCGACATCAGAGCTCTGTCAATTCAGAGCATCAGTTTATCTGTCCTCATACAATAAACTCAATGTATGTGTAAGTCTTGTAAACCTCTACTTGCTGAACTAAAGCCTTAATTTACTGAAATAAAGCCCTAATTTCATTATTTAGCTGCCCACTGTGAGATGTCACCATGCTTTAGATTAAGTTGTCAACAGAAGCTGATCTGCACCATTTGTTAATTGCAAATTATGCACATCCAAAGTAAAAGCCTCTGGTAACAAACTGATGAAGCACATTGCATTTCTACATATCCGAGCTACAGAGAGGCTACTTGCATGTTATCAGGGCTTTGCAAGTAGACTACTTAATCATGTGGATTACAAACCTAATATAACGAAATGCAACAATATGTACTATAGTCACCCTGCCACAGTGAGTCAGGGAGGTCTGAATCTGTGATCCTGGGGGTATGATAGCAGCTGTACATAAACAGACTAAAAACTTGACTGAAACCACTCACTAAATAATGCTAAAATATTTTGTAACTTTCATTTGTAATGCAAACTATGAAGAAGAACATGGAAGCAAATGCAAGATGGCATGATGTTAACAAAGTACTGAATGGAAAAGTACAGGAAGATAGAATGAATAAAATTACAAAATGCTCAAGATGGGAGAGGTAGAAGAGGCAGAGGCCCAAAAAACAGGCACTCTAGTTTCTCAAAGGTTCCACGCATGAACAGCGAGTTTTGGCAGCAACAACTGATGATAAAAGTGCCCCAAAGGGTGGAGAGAGGAGGGACGAGAAATGATGTGACTAAAGAAAAGCAGTGCAGCACCAATATCTCAGAAAAAAAATGCTCCAAAGCAATTGCACACCATTTGTTTGACCTGAAAATCTTTTAAAAAAATTGTCTGTGGAAGCAGCTGTAAAAGATAAAGACGAAGATGGAACAAATTGCAACATACATCAAAGTCTGATGTTTCCAAGCTAAGCCAGTTTTTTTTCCAGTGATAAAGAAACTGATTTTCTAAATACAGGGAACACAGCAGGTTTCACCAATTTAGGCTGCAGTACAGGATTTGACAAACACCGCAGCAAGGTGAGAGGCAGCCCTTTCCCACAAAAGTATACATGCAGAATTCATGCCCTGGCCAGGAAGCAAGATGAAACTGTGCTTCTGCTTCACATGGACAAAGAACCAGACAGGGATTTAATACAAAGCTCAACATTCAAGGTCCCCACTAAACTCAGGAGGGGAGGCAGTTCGAAATGGACATCTGCAGAGGCCTTGAGGAAAACAAGGAGAGAAGGAACAGAGAGCATAGTAAGCAAGACAGGGATAAAAACACAAAAAAGAAACATGGGGCTTTGATAACATTCCAGAAGAGTTGCAGAAGTTTGTTTTGCTCCACTAGCAAAGTGTAAAAAAGTGCTTAATTCTGTACACATGAAGAAAAGGCAAGAGGAGAAAAGCTCAAGTCTAGCAACCAAATCCAAAAGATCCCATGGAGATAGTATGACAAGGGTCCTTGTCTTTCACAGGACCAAAAGACAGTTTGGAGTTTCCCTTCTTCTTTCTCTTTCCTTATAAAATCTAAATGAATGTTCAGTGAAGTATCTACAACTTCCTGCTTGTTTTGTGGAAAGCACATTTAGCCTACTATTCTTGAAACCCCATCTCTTCCCAGCAACTCCAGTTACCAAGTTATAGAGGGAGAAAAAGCCTCTTTGCCTTTCTAAAATTTGGGAACAGCAACTTTCATAAGTTGTCCATGATGTGCCTTGTAGGGTCAGACAGTACTGTTCATTTTTTCTGACACATAAGCACCTAGACAAATTGAAGGATTTTTCCTCATCCTTTTCAGTAATATCAACTGTAATGACTTCTAAGGCAATATTCCAAGCAGTTAAATTGCTACTTTTTGCAGGTGCTCAGCAAGACTTGCTCAAACATCTGGGCAAAAGAAATCACCAGATACGGATGAATTTCAATGAATTAGTACCAAAACTAAACTGGCAGCAAAATTCTTTGCAACAAGCCACCCTGCTTGCTAAGGTATCTTGGAAGACAGCCTACTTAATCAGCTCTGTAACTTTTGGCCCTCAAGTTTAGCAAGAGAAGACACACACAGAGAAATCCATGTATAAGCAACCTGGTCATCTCTGTAGAGCCAAGCACCCTGGAAGCCTCTTTTTGGAGTAAGCAGCTGTAAGGAGCTAACTTCCCTGGATCATCCAGCACAGGGTACAGCTGCTCAGTCCATGCCATGTTTTCAAAATGCAGGTGAAATGCAAAATGAAAAGCATGCAGTTATTTTAGCTCCTTTCATAAATTATTTCATCCACTTTTCAACAAATTCTACTTCTCTCATTTCACTGCAGAGGCAGGGAGAAGGTTTCAGAAGAAAACAAGCAAAAATTCAGTGTAATTTAAGACAAGACAAAGACTAAGCCATTTCTAATAATATTAACTTAATTTTTCTCAGGAAAACAAACATAGCTGCAAGGCCAAGATTGATTTTTCTAGCATGGTTCATATCCTACAACTCTCAGAATCCACTGTGCCATTGCTACTCCTTTTCTCTTCCACTGGAAGAGAAACAATAGCATGAATGCTTAAGAATACGGAAACATACCAAGCAAGTGCTTAGCCTCCATGATCTAAATATTTTTAGTGCTGAACCCACAGGCAAGAGTGTTTGATTGGAGCTTTACAACATGCCAAATGTGCTGAAACAGTAAAACAGCCCTGAGTAGCCCAGTGGACTCTGGTACCCTGCTTCTCTCTTAACAGCAGTTCACTGTCTGTCAATACATCCTAGAGGTTATGTGAAGTTCAAGGCTATTTTACTTTAAAGTGCATTCCTGTGTCTTTTGTTTCCATCACCAACACACAATCCAGGCCTGACTAACAAACCATAGGGTGGTTTGCTTCCACCCTAATGTTGGCAGAAGGGACATTTCCCTCCCTACCTTCCATGTATAAAGCAGGAGGCACAAAGGTAGGAGAGGGAGAAGAAAAACCATTGTTCTTCCTCCTTTGCAGCATATATTTGCTGAAAACCCTAATGCAGGGTAAGACTGTCAGTTCCATGCATGAACTTGAGACTGCTGATCAACAGTATGAAGAAGGTAAAGTGGTTTTCAAGCACCATATAAAGCAACCTCCAAATGGTTTAGTGACAGAACTTCATTTCTCAGCAATTAACTCCATGAAAGCTCTAAAAAGAAGCAAATACAATGAAAATAATAACATTGTTTTGAAGTGAGCTCTGAGCTTTTTTGCCCTGCTCAGCTGAACATTATGTGGCAGGGCTACGGATGTTAAAATTAGAGCTGAAAAGAAAAATGCCAAATAGATGAGCTGGTGAAGGCCAATTTGTAAGTAAAATGGGTAGCTTACACAGACTAGCAATGATGGGATTATTTATATAAGGATTTGATTGATATAACCTTTCTTCAAGGGTCTAGAAAAAGCATTAAGCTCAGCAGAATACGATATGAACCAGCTCCAGACAGCGTGATATGGCAAATTTTGAACATTACCTTGGAAATCCTGAGGGGACTATCCCTCTAAGGTGGAAGATGCCTGCAAAGATTTCACAGCTTAATTAATTTTGTGAGGTACTTAATATGTATTTATGTATTTATCAGTGTGTTTCATTCTGTTTTGGTGCAAGCAGGGACTAAACTTGCAGTGATCAGGACTCTTACCTATAAAACGTATTATTCTTCGAAGCAGTGGGTTCAGGTAACAGCATTCTCCAGTCAAAATAGTTTTCTCTTGAATAATTAGAGTTTCTCGGGTTGACTTGATGAAATACATGGATATCTCACCAATAAAAATCTGCCAGGAAAGAGAGAGAAACAGAAGGTTAAAAATTACACGAGCAAAACATTAAAACACAGGTGACTAGTTCCAGCTCACAGAAAGTGCTATACAGCAATGTGGCTTTGGGACATTGCACTTCCACAGTGAGGCCACACTTACTCGAGGTGAACTGACATAGACCCAGCTCCTAAACAAGAAAAGGGTCATTCTTGTGCTCACAGAGGCCCAGAGAAGCTGGGTGTGGGACCCCCCCCCCACCCCTCCCCAGGCCACACTGGGACATACTCTGGACACTGAGAAATGCTCATTAGGCCTCAGCCTTGACAAACAGCACTTGGACTAAGCCCATTTGGAGCTTATCGGAAACTCCGTCTGCTCCCAAGAACTAGTGCTATCTAATGAGCACCTGTTTTCTAATGAACAGCCTTGGAAACTTGCTTTTCTTGCCTGAATAACAACCCAAGTGGAATAATATTTTTGTTGTTGAACCTTAAAGAAAGATGCCAACTCATTACAGCCAGGAGGGAAAATTATTATGACTAAAGCCAACTCTCTTGTGACCCTATAAACAACAAAGTGGGGGCTAAAGTGGTATGTCTCAAACACTGATAGCTGGATGGCTGTGGAGCCAAAACAAGGACTCCCGATAATAACAGACAAGAATTGTCAGTAATAAGCAAGGACTGTTGGTATTAACACGCTATGAGAAAGAATAAGATTTGACTAGATGTCCTGTTTTGTTTATCAAAAATTAAGTCCCCAGGGAACCATTTATCATTATGTTAGCCATGTTTATGTATTACATATCTCTGTATGATCAGAACATTCATGCTTTCTTTAAAAATAATAGCTGCTTCCCATAGGAGTAGTATTACTATTTCTTTGAGTACTCACAATTAATTTACTTCTGTTGCACTGAAGTCTATCTGCCCTCACTAAAGCTAGATTGAATTTAATCACAGGCTTTAGAGGCAACAATGGTCCACACACAGAAGGAACTTCTGAAAACATCACCTACCATGCTCTGTCAGCAGGCTTTATAAGGGGAAACTGGGAGCTTTTTAGAAAGCGAGAGTTTGTAATGAAAGTCTTTAAAAGAAAAGCCTGAAGTAGAAGAAATGAGCTTTTAAAGGGGAACACTCAAAATAATTAATTTAAGACATTATTATGGGACACACACAAGAGGAATCCATAGTGCTAGGGAACAGCCACAGAACAACGAAACAACATACATACATCAGCACACACACACACACACACACACACACATCTGACACAGACACCCAGAGTTAGTATAAACATCAAGGAAGTCACTTTAGTTCACTTTGACTGCTGGAATGGTACCTTGTTTCAAGGGCAACAATTTATCCTTATTAAGCCAAATGAGTATCCTTATTGATTACTGACATTCAAGGCAAGTATGCTTAACCTCTTTATAATTCTGACTGCTGATGAGGAGAGATGTGGAGCTCTAAAATGCATGTCGATAATGGCATCTGGGGGGGGGCAGTGCTTGCGAGCTGCACTGAAATATTGCCTTTATCCTGTTTCACTCCATCTGCTCTTAACAGAATTGGCAAGCAGTTCAATAAGCTCAGCTCACTAACAACAAGGCTGGGAATTAAGAAAAAGACCATCTGCACTAAAGCAGTTTAAAAGTGACACTCTGTTTCGAAACGTTTGTTATTTGAAGTACAATAATGTTCAGAAGTTTGAGTTAATGCTTTGGATCTCTGTCCGCCTGGGGCTGTACATATGCATTGAGAGACAACTCACAACCTGAGGAATTTCTGCTCTATGAAGGCAGGGGTCACCAGACTTTAAAATTAAACCCTGAACTTTTTAAGAAAGAGAGGCTTAGGTATAAAATGTACTAATAGTCCTCCTGTAACAATACATCCATTTTTTAAAGTTCTTTTGCATCAGAAGTTAAAGCATTATTCACCTGTTTCAATATCCATCTTTGTTTCTATAAATCTAGCTGTCTGGCATACTCCTAGCAACTCCCATGTGGATATATTAGTTCCACTTACATTTAGGAGTAAATTTTAACAGGCTATAAATCTGTTCAATTCCATTCCACTGATTTAAGCAGAGTTATCCCACATTTCCTATAGCATATATCAAAATGTGATTTTTTTAAGTGAATACTGCCTTTGGTTTAGTACACAGTTTAGGTGTATGGCAATAATGCTATATTTATGGGGTGAATTAAGGTGATTCAACATAACCGGACTTTTCTTGTGGTGCCATCCCTGGCACTAAATTTAGTTGCTGGGATTTGCAGATTTGGTTTCCTTGTACATTTAATGTGGGCTCTAGAAAGTGAGCTTTGCTGTGGGGGATTGGACACCTGACTCTGATAGCTAATCTAGCTGTGTGCAGTTGAACAGGGTCGGAACAACTCCTCAAAGAACTTGTATTTTTTTTCTCCAGGCATTTCTGAAGTCAAGTAACTCCACTGATTCTAATGATTTAAACCCTGATGATTCTGCATGAGCAGAGTCTGCGTCCAGCCAAGTAATCCAGCTGGCCTCCGAGAATCAATCACCAGCACTATTAAGTACCTTAGCTTCTGCCAAAACAGAATCAGCACTTCAGGAGTGGTTACAACTCAGTTCTAAATCTGAAATCTAAATATAGGTAGACAGATATGGGTGGAAAAAGAAAACAGCAAGCAAACTGCTTTTATTTCCATTTGGGAAAACAATGCAAGGTTAATGAGCTTCTGCAGCATACTGGCTTAATTAGACAGTAGAAATGACAGGAAAATTGCAATGGCAGTTGGGGATTGAAAGCACAGGTGATCTGCAGTCTGGTATGATGTAGGTAATAGGGAAGCAAAGGTAGTGCCCCTGGATGTGTTTCTGTTCTTTGTTTCTTGAATGCAGTGGCAGCTCACCTACACTAAGGATACATTGCTTGGACACTCTTGCTCACATTCCCTTTCGCATTACTAGCAGGTAAAAACACTACAATGATGCCCTAAAGAACCCAGTATGAATTAGAATTATCTACCCAGCACTCATTTTTCCTCTGCTGATTTCATTGAGAAAACTTCAATTTTCCCTGCCTTACTCCCATTACTGACAGTGTCACCAAATACTTGCTCCTCAACATTCAGTTCTCAAAGATCTCTGCTGCGTACACTCTACTTATTTCCTTTCTTCTCCTGAGCCAGCAGATGATAACATGATCTGTCTCATTTTCCTCTTCAAAAGCCGTTTTTCCATGATAGTTCTTCAGCTTGTGAACTGACATTTTCAGAGAGTAAAATGTCTCATCTTCCCCTATCAAGTTCTCAGCACAACTTTAGCGCCTGATACTCCCCGCACTCCTGTACAGATTAGCAACAGTTTGTTAATTTAATTATCAATTTAATCAGCAAAACAACAGAACTATTGCTTTTAAAGGGACAGGGAACATTTTCTTTTCCTATAGCACTTTCTGGTAACCTCACAAATGATCATTTGCACAACAGCATTCTAAAAAAAATTGAGGCAAACATCAAGAAGAAGAACTGTTTCTCTGAGGGTAAACTAAGATAAACTATCCAAGAATGTGTCCGAGTTACAACTAAGAGGAGGCTGCAGATGAGTGGCATCCTGGAGCAGCCCTCCTGCAGGAACTGTGCAGTGGGGTAAGGGTTGGGGGCAAACTTGAAGAGTTATATTCAACTTAATTAGTAATAACTGATTGTGCTGACAGCCAAGGATAGGTCCAGTTTTAACCCTTTTGTTCTTTTTACTAGTTTTTCTTATTCAAGATGTTGTCATTGTAACTCAATTCTACTACTCTAGCAAAGCTGAGGACTGCATCACTGCTTCACTCCCCTGCCATGCTTTGGCTTACTTTTCCTCCAGGAGCCAACACTGGGGTTGCGTGAAAGTTGCCACAGTTTTCATTTCAGCTGCAATTCCACACGGAGAAAGGAGGAGGCGCATGGAAGAGATGCGGGAGGCATCGTTGTGCCCATAGCTGGGGACTGCCTGAAGTCTGCCTTTCTCCCCATGAAAGTTACATCCTTCTGCTGCTTTCCATGAAAAAGTACAGCTGATGTCATTTCTCATCACAGCAAGACAATGGAGTTCCCACATTAGGGAGAATTATGTGAAGTGCAGACATGATGTCTCTTTTCTATGCATTTAGTTAACATTATTCTGATTTTTGCAAGTTTTTCATAGAATCATAGAATCATA